GCATCTCCAGGTCATGAGCAGCAGCTCCTTGTCTCTGCTTTTGTGTTGGCACCCGTTGTCCGGGCAATTTGTTTGACTGTGTGTGGAGCCAGCCATTAAGGGAGGTTTTAGAGGCTGCTGCATGAGGAGACCAAAAAGGAGCAAGGATCCCAAATTTTGTACAGCCGTGCACATCAGGCAGAGGCTACGTTGAGCAGTTTAGGGATGTGCATCTGCTTCATTTCTGATATGGTTTGCAGAGCTGGAGGATTTGTTCTTCCGCTTCAAAGCGAGTGCATCAGTCTAAGAACAGCTGATGATGTACTCACACAGTACCATGTACAGTTTCCTCCATACTTTCTGGGAAAATAAACTGTGGGAATTTATTACTTGAAACTCCAAAATTATTCTCTCCTATGATATCTGTGCCCTTTCTTCCAGCCTCCTCTAGTATTCATCTGCTTCACATGTTAGGTCTTGTCTTTCAGACTGTAAGGCTGTTTAGGAATCAATGACTTAAGAATCTTTTAAATGACTGACTATTGTCGTTTAGGTTGCTTTCTATTCACCTTCTCTACTGGGCACTAATTCAATTGCATCTTTTTATATGCCAGCACAGTGTAAGTGTCTAACAACAACGAATTGCCTGTCTGTAAATTTAAAATATTTTATGGTTACCTGGATCATCTTTCAAGACTTATCTCATGGACTCAATCCCTAGTAAAGCACAGTATCTTCTTTTCAAACCCTTGCTAATGGACTGTGAGTGTTTTTGATCATAGTTTCTATCTAGCAGTTGTTTGATGCTGGAGTTCTACAGCCAGTGATATTTGCAGGGTTCCCTTTGTATTTCCCTTTTCAGGCTTAGCAGCTTTTGTGCACTTCAGTGTCCTGAAACTTGGTTGCATTCCCTCTGATGTCCCTTCTTGTGATTTTTTTTTTGCCGTCTGGTTGCCTTGATAAATGTGGAAAAGCTATCTCTGCAAATTTTCCCTTTTTTTCCTTTAAGTTATACCTTGCAGGATTTGCATAATGTATTTTGTCAGAACACAAACTGGTACTTCAGGACTTAAAACAGATTTGGGGTGTTTGAGTTTGCTTTTACATTAGGCTTCTTGTACAGGCATTTAATGAAAGTTTTATGACAATCTGTGAATTGGGCCTGAGTCTGAATTCTCCCCAAATGATCAAAATGTGAGAGAATGCTTATTGGAAGATAAAACATTAACATTTTTATTTATTTTGATATGAGGCTTCCTATTTCACTAGGTACTACCCATTTGAAAAATGCTTTTGAGACACTTCTTCTTGTTCTTTCTTCTATATCTGCAAATAATTCCTAACTGGTGTGGCTGTCTCACAAAGCTGGGAGGTTTAGTGTCTGCTTCTCCCACCTGGATAAAAAGTTCTTCACAGTGAAAATACGAATTTCCACCACAGCAAGTCTTTCAAGTGGCCACGGCACCGAGCAATAGGAAATTTAGGTCAACCCCCAGAGCCCTGTGGTGACAAGAGGTCGCTGAGGCTGCACCACTGTGGCACAGAGGGTTCCCTTCAAAGGAGGGCAACCTCACCACTACTCCATGTAGTAATTGGCACCTGCTTTACACGAACCTTCCTCCTGGCCTAAGAAGAAGCTTTGGTGTTGCTGAGGGTAGAGAGTGGCTCAACTGCATTGCATCCTTGGGCAGTTCCCTCCTCAGAGGCATCTGCCACTGCAGAGTAATTGGCTCAGCTAATTTGAAACTGACTGTTGCTATATAGTGTGTAAATAATTATTTGGATAAATACCTATTAACATAAATATTACTGCATATCACCAAGGTATCAGGTGATAAAAGTACCCATTAGGATGCTTGCAACTTATTTGTTTGATGGTATTGAGGAAAGTGTCCCTGCCTGGATGATCTTTTAGGCCCGTTCAATCCCAAATCCTTGTAAGATTCTGCAATTTTTTGTTGAAGGTTGAAACAGGGAGGATCTGTCAGGTGGGTTTTCTCTCCTTTTGCCTTTTTTTTTTCTTCCCAGAAACAGAAGAACTGAAAAGGCTTTCAGATTGTTTTGATGGATAAACAATGTGATCCATCTGTAGCCTTGGTGCCTGAGAGTGGGCAATGCAAAAAGCAGTTGTAATTTAATACTAAGCTGATGAGAGGTGCATTGATTTTTGCAGCAGGTGAAGATTATGCAAGAGTAGCCTCAAGCATTACTAGTGGAACAGGGGAGGGAACTGTCTTAATTTTTTGCCTGGTGGTGACAGTATAGATTTCTTTCACAAGACTCAGCAAAAATACTGTTCTACAGGCATCATAGCAAGTTGCTTCAGCTTTTGATTTCCAGTTAACATATCCCGACAATTTTGCTGCATCTGAGTCTTCCTTTTCCTAGGAACCAAGTGTGTCTATTTGCTGTTGCCTTTTAGAAGGAGAAGAGAGCAAAAGGTGGTTTTTATTTTTGGTTCACTGCAGGCACCTAATGAATATTTCTTTTTCCCTTCCCCATTTGGTACACCTCTGTGATGGTGTGAGTAAAGAAGCAGCTCATTTTACTGATGAAATGTCAGCATTTTATTTGCAGAAAAGTTGGATTGCTGCTGGCTGGATGCTGGGGAGGAGAGGGAAGGCAAGGGGAGCCAGGCACATTCCTTGTGGTAGCTTTTCAACTCCATTCAGTTTCAAGTTAAGCTCTTTCCCAGACTGCCCCTCCTGTAGAACGTGTTGTGGAAAATAGTGGGGAATTTGGGGTCGCGTTTCCATTTATGACTCAGCAAAGTTAACAGACTGTTTTAAATTACCGGAGCAGCTTTGATATGATTTCCTGCGCGTGAGAAGCAGAGGAAGCCAAACCTATTATGTTACTCCTTACTAATCAGTGTAACATAAAAGGTGCTCACTCTAGCCCTGTTCCAGTGGAATATGTCAATCCCATTTGCCTTTGTTACATGGACATGGGAATGGCAGTGACAGTTCTTTATATCCTACCTAACACAGCTCTGGGCAGAGCAGTACTTACAGGTGCTGCAGAAAATAAAGTTTCCCTTCATGTAGGTCAGGGAGGCAGCTGGTGATATTAAAGTGCACCGTCAGGTAAAACTGGCAGCACTGCAAAGGCTCCTGAGGTGGTGGGACTGACTCAAAAACCTCGGGCTGGCACTGGCCCCGCTCCAAGTGCTTTGTTCTCTAAAGGTGCCCTGATGGGGACTCACCCTCCAGCTCTGGAGCAGGTGGTGCTGTAGGGGAGCGTGGCCGGTGCTGCTCCGGAGGAGGAGGGCTCTCCCACGGGGACATCTCTCCGTCGCGGCTCCCCCTGGCTCCGGCGGGCCGGGATGCGCTCGGTCGCTGCGGGCAGGGCTCGGGCATCGCCCTCACATCTGGCTGTGCCCTGCCCGCTCCCCAGCGGAACACTGCACAGCGTGTGCTGGACTCTGCCTGCTTCACGGGGCTGCTCTCCCTCCTGGCACTCCTTTCCCCAAGCAGACTGAGGGGCTCAATGTCACCAGTTTGCTTTTTTTAAGTGATAAATATCTACCGAGTGAGACACTAATACTGCAGGGTCCGGATTTCTTCGCCTCTCCTTCTCCTCTATGCTCCATTTTGTCAGTCTCCAAGCATCCATGGGAGAGTATTATAACTCTGCTGAAATCAAAATCCGGTATGCAAAGACATCACAAGTAATGTTATCCCTGAAGAAGGCTTCTCTCCTTTCTTTTTTGCTTCGGCTGTTTGGAGGAAAATGCCGCTCTCGTGGCACCAGCTGGCTGTCTCTCCTCATAAACCTTGTTTTTTGCTGCCGTGAATCAGGATGCACAGGGAAATTTTCGGTAGCGGAGGGAAGCCGGCAGTTGGGCGTCTGTTAATAGCCTGAAAGTAACTAATGAGGATGTGCAGCCGGAGCGATTGATTGAAGAGCTGCAGTCCTGTGTGCTGCTGCTTCGCTCGCTCACTCCCCGCCAGCCCCGGCAGGGAGGGAGGACGGAGACACCCGGCGAACCCTCAGGTGGAAGTCACGGATCCCCAGGGCCAGGAATGGAAGTTTAAGCTGCATCTGGCTCTTGAAAGGAGAACAGCAGGAGTCAAAATGTCACTACCTGGCGTCACGGCTTGCTCCTTTTCTTTAAGGTTCAGAAGATAACAATGGACTTTCTGCTAGGAAGTGATTTTTTCCCTCCCCATGTCGGGAGGTGTTTTATGAAGCTGGATTCCTTAAAGTCTGGCAATTGAGCTGGAGATGGGCAGCACTTGTGATAAAGGTATCTGTATGCATACATATGCATATCTAGCTCTATATAAAAATGCATATATGTGTGTTTGTGGAGAGATTTTTAATACTGTGTGTACCTTATTGGCTATTATTTCAGTATTTGTACTAGTCAAAGACATCGGTGCAGCTTTTATGAATGTTCGTGCTCATCAGATCAGTCTGCATGGATTTAAGATGCCAAAGTCGTGTCTTAGTAAGGTCATACTGCCAGAACAAGGAGAAGTTGACCTATTTTTTTTTTTTATCTGCAGAGATATATATGTCATTACCCAGGCACTTATAAGTCTTCTAGTTACATGCTTTGAGCAAGTGGTGGGATCATACACAACCGAACTTTGCCCTTTACCAAATTACGTTCAGCTGGGACTAAAACTGAGCTTCCCTGGGTCTTGATTGTAATTATCTGTTAATTACTGCACTGCTTACGTAAAAAAAATTAGATGTTAAAAAAATAGATTTAAGTTCTCTGAATACTGTCTCTCAAACAGTAACAGAATATTAAGTATGTCCAGATACTGATCTTTACCAACACTTTTTATTTTAATCTCCCACAGTCAAGTCAGATTCACAACCTTAAATCTGCCAATGAAAATGCCATTGTAGGTTAGTAAGTGAAAAAGATACAGGTAAATAGGTGGGTTAATTCAGTAATTGAGTCATGCACTCAAAACTTTCCTGAGGCTTCTGTCCTGCAGAGCACAAAGCCTGACTGTTCCCCACCCCCGGGCACCCATTCACCATCATCTTCTTCTCTTCCTCAGAGGTCCCAGCAGAGAGATCTCCTCGCAGACGGAGCATCTCGGGGACCAGCACCTCTGAGAAGACCAACTCCATGGATGTTCCGAACACTTCTCCTTTCAGAGTACCAGTAAGTGTGCCTTCCCTGCAAAGGGGCATATTTCTCATTGGATGGGAGGAGGAGATTAAAATACCACAGTGTACAGCCAGGCTGGGGGAGCCTGGGGGCAAAGGAATGTTTGGTTAATATTTCCAGTTGACCAAGAGGTTTTGCTATCAAGTGTCATATATTATCAATAAGATTCCTGGTAGATCCCTAACTTGTTCCTTTTCATTGCCTTTATCTAAAGTTGCAGATTGAGAAACATCAGTGTTAATGTGGGCAGTGACCTATATAAATACTTTTGAAGTCACCTCCTGGGACTGCATTCCGTATTCAATCTTGACAAGGAAGCAAGTTCCTTTAGCATGTGATAGCATTGAAATGGTTTTATAGTTTATTCAGAAGCTAAGGAAATTTCTGCAGGTGTGTTAATTCCTCTTTAGCTCTTTGGGTCTTGTCTTGAGTTTGGTTGGCTGTGAGTCTACATGAGAGTTGTTCAGCTACAGCCTGGATTTTGCTTGGGTTAGTCTTTGTGTCCAGAAGCACAAAGACATTTGTACTATTAGACTGAGGACAAATGTTACAAGTTGAAATGAGGTGCCTAGTAATTTCCAATAGTATTTGTTCATGTTTTAAAATATCTACCTTGAATACTGCAAATGTTTTTAAGCCCTCCTTTACTTTTGGCAAGTAATCTGCTGACTTGAGAATAAATCTGGCATCATGTAATTTTAAAAGTAAAATTTAAAAACAGCCAAAAGATTTGATGAGAGTTATTTAAATTATTCAAGGATTAAGTTTGGTCAGAATGTATAGAGTACATGATGTTTAAAGCAACCTGTGAATTCATGGTATTTTGGAATGCAGAAAGGGACCAAGGAAGCAGTGAATACACTGGGTATCCTTACTTGGGCCCTTTTCAGAGTCATAGAATAATACAGATTGGAAGGGACTAGATAATCTCCAGAGGTGCTTTCCCACCTGAGCTATTCTGTGTTCTATGAACAAACCTCTGTCACGTCAGAGATCTGTTTTCTGGATAGTACTTGGGAAAAAAGGGCCTTGGTCTAGTTGTATGTGAAGTTGATAGAAGAATGTTCTGTTATGTCACGTTCTGAGATTTTGATACCAAGTCCATGATCAGAGTTCCAGAAAGATTTCTGAACTCTGAGAGCCTTCAGAAGTCTTATCAATGTCTTCATTTATAAGAAATTCTGTTTTCTTTGCCTTCATCTAGAAGTAATAGCCCAAGCCTTTAGATGTATCTGTACATTGTAGTAGCTTTGTCTAACTGCAAGCTGTGTATCAGAAGTGTTTGATGACTATCTGTATTATTTTATATGCCTGCTTTTCCCCCTCATTTTTGTACCATTCCTTTTAATGATGATCCTATCTCTTAAGTAATGTTTTAATGGTTCTCTAATTCTTCTCTAATAGTTCTCTGATACTACTTAGCTCCTGCTCGCTTTCAAAACAAGAAGCCTGCAGAATGTTTCTCATTTCCCCTGGTGGTGTGTTGGGCTTTTAGGACTCTGGCAGATAGGCTCAGGAAGCAGTACCTGGCTGCTTTTCTTGGGCAGAAACCAGCAGAAAGCTAGAAGCTATTTGTGCCATGTGGAACTGGATTCTGCTGCCTTGTCTGCCTGGCCACCTGTACACCCAGGAGCATAATGCACCCTCCTGTCCTCCTCATGTGGGGACAAGGCTTCTGGCTTTGGAGGTTTTGTTCTGAGTAGCCCATTTATACCCTGTTACCCCCAAGTAGGGGCTGAGATCACCCTGTTTTAAAAACATGACAGCTTGTGAGCTGTTTAAAAGAGCAAGCTGCAATTAGAAGTCAGCTTGCTTAACAATACAGAGGAGCTCAAGCCAAAACTGCTGAAACCAAACACACTGTTAGCTTGATAGATTGGCACACATCTAATAGGTAGCTGAGAAGATGGGGAGGAATCATGTTCATGCCTTTGACTGATAATAAGAATTTCCCAGATCACAGGAGGAAAGGTGACTTGGGCGCCTTGTGAAAGTCTCAGTCTTGGATCACTGATCTGAGAAGAGCTGCAAGTGAAGGATGTAAAAGGTGCCTGTAATGGCTTCAAATCTATGTCTGTGAGGTTGTCCCTATTTGACAGGGATTTATTCTACATATAAAGGAGATTAATAGTAAGAGAACTTGCTTTTTTGTTTTTCCAGACTTTTTCACCTACAGTGCAGGTTGGAGGGCTGCAGGCAGCTGCAGCATAGTGCTGTCTCAGTTATTCTTCCTGTGGCCCTGACTCTGTGCCATACCTTGTCTACTCACTGCTTGGATTTCTAACAGAAAGCAGCTTAAGGCAGGGGACAGCTTAACCTTCTTCCATCCTGATGGAAAATTATGCTGAGACTTTCATAATAAGTTGCTTCTACAGCTTTTTAAGTTTGTCTCTCAGAACAGCTATTTAAAAGCTGTCTTCTCAATAGGACAGTAGCTTCCAGCATGTTCTATGCAGGTTTTTTCCTTTCAAGAACAGGCAGTGGTACTCGGAACAAGGCATCTGTTTTTTTTAACACTGCTAATTGGCATTGCTTTAGCATCTGGAATTTTGATCCATAACAGCATAATTGCCTTTAAGCAAACATTTTCTTGACAATGCATTTTTAAAGTAATCTATTCAGTGGCGGTGGTCAATGAGGGATTTATTTTTAAGGGCTGATATGCAAAGTTTGAGAAATTTGCCTTTTTGCCTCCTGCACGGGCACTGGAGGAAAAGATGTATGTTTAAATTTACTAGTGTGTGAAAAGCAGAATTTCAGTAGTTATACTTCTTCCTAGGATGAACCACTATGTGGACTAGCATGTCCTATGTGTTTGTGAGGGTGGTGAGGCCCTGACACAGGTTACCAAAAAAAGCTGTGAGTGCCGCATCCCTGGCAGTGTTCAAGAGCAGGCTGATGAGGCTTGGAGCAACCGGGGACAATGGAAGGTGTCCCTGCCCATGGCAGGAGGCTGGAATGACATGATCTTTAAGATCCCTCCCAAGCCAAACCATTCCTTGATTTGTTCTGGTTATCTTCCACCAAGGGGAGTAAAGGGGATTCTGCAAATGTGGGCACTGCACAACACATACAGAGAGAAGAGCTCTTGCTGCTTGTCTTTTCTTTTTCTTCCCCATTGCCCCAAATTTTCTTGTCTGCACTTGAAACTTTAGTCTCCATCTAAGTTCAGCTGTGTACATTGATGTTTGACAATTGCCAGGTGTGTCAGGAAGAAATATTGAGAGAGAAGGGAAGGGCACAAAAGGTAGGAAAATGGAGATGAAGAAATGTGTCTACGCACATATAGACAGATGTGTGCTGTTTATAGATACATATATAGGAAAAGTCATATTTTTAATAATGGATATTATTTGACTGAACAAATAGGGAGGCAGAGGGAGCTGGCTCCAAGCAGGCACTGTGACGCATAGGTGGGCGAGAAAGCAGCTTTTCCCTTCCCACACACACCACGTCCTGGCAGTCCTCAGTCTCCGTGCATCCCGTTCCCTGCCGTGGCACTGTGGAGCCCCGGTGGCACTGCTGCAGCCTGACACATTCCCTCATTGCTCTGCCGTTGGAATTGGGTAAATATGGGACTATCCTCATCCTCAGACCTCCTGCAGTGACAGGATGGAGAGGGATCTCTAAACTCACCCTTCAGACTCTCACTGAGCTCTCCGGTTTTGGCTCAGAGTTGTTATTACAAATAATATGATTCATCTATGTCTGCTGGCTAATGGGGAAAGAAAGATGAGAAAGAGGCAAAGGAACAAGTGCAAATGAGACAGGAATGCCAGAGCACAATCTTTGAAGTAAATAAAATGATTTTTATAGGAACCTTGATGTAGGATACTTGCAGATTGCCTTCCTTGGTTTGTTTCTGGCCGAGGGTATAATTGGATCTATAGAAGTGCTGTCTGCCTCTTTGCTCTTTAAGAGTACTGCTAAATGGAACAGAAGACAATGCATCCAGCCTGAGTGAAGGTCAAAGCTTGATGAGATCTCGTGGCTTCCCAGCCTCATCTTTTATGCAGTCAGCAAGATAGTTGCTTCTCCAGAGCACTGCTGCACTCCTGCCATGCTGCCAGGGTACAAATGTCTGAGTTGTGCTGCCCGTGTGACCCCGTGGCATACAAATACATATTTTTAATTCTGCATCAGCACCAATGCAGAGATGGAACTGTTGATTTGCATTAGTGTGAGGCACCACAGCATCCATCCCCCATGAAAAACGCTGTGCTCAAATCTGTCCCCTCAATAGAAATTTACATTTTTCCTTCCACTTTCTACTCTTTACTTCCTGTGACAGGTTTGTTTGAATCTGCTCTAGTTTTGATCACTTGCCTGTGCTGTGATGGTTTAGATATGCTGGCTAGTCTGTGAATTCTGTGTCAGAAAGCATAAACGGGTGACTGACTATCTCCAGGATGCTCACCACGCTTTCATCCGTGTCTTTATTCTGGGACAGTGCTGTTCATAGGCTCTATAACTTTCACAGTGTCTTGCTGCCACAGCAGATTTGTTCATTACATCAAACTTTAGTGTTGTGTCAGATGATGGGGATACCAAGGCTCTGACACTGTCTGATGGACCTCCATAGCGGGAACAATATTCTCATGTTTGGTGTAAACCTGATTACAATTCCTTTTATTCTTTAGTTAATGTAGGGGAGCTATGAATGTACATAGCTTTAAACACTGTTCACATTCCTGTTGTCCTCGGCTTAGTAGTATTTAAATAGTGCCAACTCATTTTATTCTTCACCTCTAAATCATGACTTAGTCAAGTTATGCAGAGTATAATTAATGCATCCTCTCTGCAAATGAGTCCTTTTGGCCATTTTATCACTTTTCTTGCTCTTCTGTTTTTAATTCCCTTCAACTGATTCTCCAAGTTCTGGTACTAAAGTTCACAGGAATGTGTGTTACCAGTTTCTAATTGCTCCTAGCCCTTTGTGTTATTTCTCTGTCCTCCCTGGCCCTTGCTTCACCTCCTAATTTAATATAGCTCAA